GCCAACTTCAAATCCTAGAAAAACGTCTGTCGCGTGGTATGCTATGTTGCAATTGTTTTTAACGGTCGTCGCGTGCCTTCTACGCAGGCTGTTCGGAAGCGTCCTTTTCAGTGTTTTCAAAGGGAAAATTCGGCCGTACCCGGAAAAGTGTGTTCATAGCATATAGATTGAGTATTTATCAGTTTTTCTAGTGGTTTGCACCTTTGATTACGGGAAGAATAAAGGAACATTTCAGAGATACCGCGAACTTCTTACACGGGCTCTTCGGCAGCGCTAATTTCTGTGTTTTGAGAGGGAAAACTCTGTCGTACCTAGGAAAATGTGCTACTGGCTTGTGGAATAAGTGCTTGTGAGTGCTTGTAGTGATTTGTGCCTTTGGATTACGGGAAGAATGAAGGAGAACTTCGCAGATACCGCAATCTAGACATCTCGGGAAAATGGTAAGTCCTAATTCTTATTACTTTTACTCATTTTTACAGGGCATGCACTTTTTTTAAAATTTGCTTATAGTATGTAGTGTACACAGAATCAGTTTATCTCAAATAGTGAAATGATATATCACAAAATCGTTATAAGGGGTATCTACATTGGGGTGGGCACTTATCAGTGAAATATACTGGTGAAAATGTCCTCTTGATACTTATCAGGCCTCCAATACGTTTTGGACTTTCACTGCTAGCATGTACGTAGTGTTTCAAATTCGACCTTCACCATTGGTAGAGTAAAGTTGGTGAATGTGGACTAGGCAGGTAGAGTGGAATATTCAAATATCTCCAAAACCAGTAGCGACACTTCGATGGTATTATTTAGTCTTGTATCAGTAGCGTAACTATCTGATACAAACTGTTTTATCGATTAAGGCGCATAACCTCAAAAAAGTTGGTGAAACCGGTAAACGTGAATATTGAAACATTAGACTGGCTGCCATTTTTTTTGTATTTCTAGGAAAAGTACAACTTTGTTCTAATTATTACTATTTGTTGTTAAGCCTCAGATACATGCATTATCAAATTATGTGTGAATTAATTATTATCTATGTTTATAGATTCTAGCCATATACTTGAGATTAAGTGAGGGTGGAATGGTATTGTGGAATATTTCAAAATATGTATCAACTTTCGAGTGTTCCACATTACCGGGCCTACTGATTAAGGATATTGAATTTGTTTATGTTTTGTTTTATTTCAGAAAATGCCTTCCAAAGAAATAAAACGACACAATTGGTCAGAAAATAACATGTTACTCTACTATTCAGTAGTATTCCACATTACCATATTAATTTTCCATGGCTACATATTACACGCTTCGCCAACTTTCATTTTTGCAAATGCATGGACTCAAAATATGCGACATAAATTACTCCAGCGATTTGACAGAACCTCACAGATATCGGAACTACTTGATTTATTTGAATGCCTCAAATTAGTATGGAATTATAGGCTACAAATGAAAAGTATTCCACATTAATAAATTTTAAAAAGAACCTACAGAAAAAAATGAAAAAGTGGCTCTATAGCACCCTGTGGGGTTTTGTTTTCAGCACACTGAAAATTTCATCTAAAAATATCAAAAAATAAAGCGTCAATTTCGAAGCGCGTAAACCTCTACTCTATTTTGGACGAATTTTGTCTACCGTTTCGCGCTGCCAACCCAAGCGTTGCGGCGCAATGTACCGACTAAGAGAGGATGTATTCAGATAATTTGGTGGCCCTATTTCATATAGTATCGCGTATATATATAAGTCGTTCTGCAAATAGGTACTCATAATCGCGATCGCTGATAATCCTCGATTTTAAAGCCATTGGGGAGGAAGTATTGTAATCGCGAAAAATTTCTAAAATGAGATGTAATGTTTTTTTAAGTCATATGACATCTACATCACGAAAAACTGTATCACTCATCATCAACTTGGAAATTACCGCTCGGATTTTTATGAAATTTCCACACGGGGTTACAAGTATGCCAAAGCTTTGTAGTTTTAGTCCAGTGGCAACGGTGCTATAGGCAAAAAAGAAAAAGTAACAATTGCTGAAACTCCGTTTTTGACGTTTCAGGGGTTCCTAATCATTGACATAAAAAAATGTTACTGCTTAAAAAAGGAGGGGGGGGGGGTTGAAATCGGTGAAACACGTTCTATTATTAAGAAGCTTCTGATCCCAGTGATTACAGGAACTTTAAGTAACTTTAAGTAACTTTAACGAAAATCCGACGAATAATGTGCTCACGGTATCTGCTCTATAGGTTCACACCAAGAGCCAACAGATCTGCAACCACCGACAGTAGGGAAGAATAAATTCGGATATCATTCCAGTCAAGTATAGGGGAATTTAGCGTGGAACTTTAAAATTATCGATATGTCAAGGAAATATGTTTTTGAGAACGATGATTTGGTAGATTTTATACCTGCATTTTCATTTGAATTTCATGACCCGTGAAATGTACCCATTTCGCCGTTACATTCAATTTGTGTACTGCAGTTTGTGATGTTTTTCTGGATATAACATAAGCGGGACATAATTGCCTAGGGTACATCAGAGCTTTTTACATAATTTTGTCTTTCCGCAAGAATTATGGTGGCTTGAAATGCTTACTATTTGTGCTCAACTTCTTGACATTTTAAAAATATCCTAGTGGATAAAATCGAAAAAGTGGATCGCTGGCACCCTGTGGACTTTGTTTTTAGCACGCTGCAAGAGTTTCATTTGGCCATAATAAAAATGAAACGTAAGCTGTGAAGTGCAAATCGGTTTTGGACGAAATTCATCTACTGTTTCGTCCTGATAGTCCAAGCGACGCGACGCGACGGTGCATTCTGACTAAGAAAAAATGTATTCAACTAATTTTATATCTTTCCTAAAATAAATTCAAGAACTTACATTTAAATTCGTTCATTCATATCAATAAACACAATTATGTTTACAAGAGTCATGTAGTAGATGGTACAATTGAACGAGGGTCATAAAAATATCTTATGCAGTCAAAATAAGAGGAAACAGATAGGTAGTTTTTGCAGAGCAATAAACAGGTAGGCTTATACCTGGATTAAGTACATGTCTTGTCTGCTGTAATAGGTAGATGGAGGTGATGCTGCTAGAAATGGATGTGTGCGATCAATAAACAAACCACAAGATTGAACTGCCGTGTCCAATGATTTTTGTACTGCCTTTTTTTATTGCCTTACTAGAAAACGCTGTTGGGTATATGATGGAGTTTTCTAGAACTCTACAGCTTGTTGTCTGCCTTCTTCTACAAACTTCACCAAATCGCGACGCTGTCAACCTTATCCTCCGTTGAAGACGCCACAAAGTACAGTCCTGTGATTTGGTGACTTGTTCGATCTGCAAAATCTCGTCGTCACTTTCCCTAAAAATTCTTGCTTAGCAACCTCCAAATCAATGTCGTTCATGTCAGGTTTTTGACAGAATTCGCCATAAAACTATTCATTTTCTTTGGAATTGCTATCCGAATTGTTAGTTATTTTTGTATCAGCTTTTTGGTCTGAGTTTCTTTTCAAGATTCTTGCGTTTGAGTCTTTGTTCCATCTTAGTGATAAGCGAGGTTGGACTAAGCTTAGAACGAAACTGTATTTGGACCACATAGACAGGCCGCTCGGTATTGTGGCTCACTACAGCTGCAGCACATCTTCCATGGTATGACATCTTCTTGCAATAATTTATTCGCTTACCCCAATGTATTTTGCGATTATAGAGTTGAGCTGCTCCACACTATTGTTGTCGTCATGAATTAAACTCACAACAATTACACCAACAAGAGTACAGCACAACAATTCAACAACGCAATATTGACGAACAGTAACAAGGGTAGAACAATACTAAATGATCACTTGCTGAGTAGGTACCAAAATAGAAAACGATTTACAAGCTAGATCGCTAATCGAAATCCGACTCTGTTATTATAAAAATTTACCTCGGTACGCACCGCAGTCATCCTTTCCTCTTTTAAAGTAGCCCCGACGATCGTCTAAGGCCAGCCCACCCTCGTTTCCTTTTCACTCCCCCCCGTTACCTCAGCAGATGGTGCTCGTGATTGTAGGAGCCCCGTTAAGTGGCGATGAATTTCTATGCGTGGTAACGTTTTTGCGTGCAAAAACCGGATGACCGCACGAATTTCGCACTTGGCGGTGACTGCGATGAAGGACTTCATCGCGCATGGCTGTCGGACCGGTACTGAGCATCGCAAATAGGCACTTCTTGTTGGGATCGGTGGTGGGGGAGCCGAAAAATACGACCGTGTTGCCAGACTTCGCCTGGCATCACGTGCGGCAAAGATACAACGTTGGGAATCTCATTTTTGAGTCTACCCTCGTATTAACGCATCATCATCCAATAAAGTTGTTTCCGACTGTTTGAGATTCTGATGACATACAGGGTGACTTCGAAGTTGAGTCATTTATTTTAACAGTGAGTAGATCTGATCAAAAGAAATGTTTTTTCCTTTAACATTTTTCTGGTAAAATTAAAGTAACAAAGTTATAGCCCTTTAGAAGTTTGAGTACCGCCCTGTCTCAATAATAATATTATGTGCTCGTGTTTGGCAACAACGGATATAATCCGCCTTATCCGTTCATCGCATCGGAAACAAAAAAGCGAAAGAATTTGAAACGATGTTTTTACTACAATGTACAATCTTATTCAGTTGTATTCAGTCGATGTGTCAGTCGGTAACGCGTGAGTGAATAGTGAATAAAAAATGGCACATGTTTACGAAAATGCTGAATGTAGTACAAAGGGCTCGTGAATCAGGTGACTTAAGACCTCACAGGGGAGGGCATGCCGGTGCTCCAAGACCGCACGATCAAATACAGGTCCGCACTGAAATACTTGTCGGGAGGATACTTTATAAAACAAGGTAACATTTTTTTTTTATTTTTTTTATTTTTACACACATATTTTGGTTTATCTTCCTTCTACAATCATTATCTGAAAATTAATGACTCAACTTCAAAGTCACCTTGTATATGCTGTTAAATTATACATTACCTAAATAAAAATCTGTTTTGCCGAATGTCCATTCCACATCTAAATTGTCTATCACTCTTTGAAATGTTGCTGACATCGTAGCAATTAGCATGTTCAGTATCATGATCACAATCAATACTTCGAAAACTGCAAATGCTATGTATCCTAAAAAACAAAGTTCTCGTTATTTAATTGCATTTGTAGATAAATCAAGGTGAAGGCAGTCGTTTGAAATGTGCGGTCTTACAACCATATAATAGGAATTTTCTACAGCGTACACGAATATTAATGCTTGCATAAGGGCAGTTCAATAATATTCAATTAAAACGTAAACCTACAATCTCTATAGTTTGTTAGATATTGTACCCGTTTAAGAAAAGACGGACTGTTGAAGTAGATCATTTTAGAGTAAGTAATACGTTATCAACAACATGATGCATTTACTAAATAATCTGACCATAGCTTATTGTAATAGATAAACGCTATACAGTATTCTGCCAATCATATTACGCAACTCGTGTAAATGACGAGCCGTATCGTCAGTCGTTCCTACAATTGTAGGACGCCTTTATGGTTTCCTTGATTTTCATAGTTTTCTACTGTACCCTGTCAGCGCTCTATTTTGAGGTTATATCACCAATATCTATTTGCATCAAATTGTTCATGTTTTTGATCATCTTGTATCATCTGTTATATCAATCTGAAATCTCCTACAATTCAAAAAGAAAACAGCCTCACGACAGGAGAGCGCTGACGCTGAGAGGGAATAGTATACATCTAGAAATACCTCAGCCTTTCTGAAGGAGAAAAAAGGCCATAAAGTTAAATTGGTAAAAAAAGAAAAAATGCGTTAATTTTAAAATGTCGAAACGTAACGCTATTTTCTTTCGTTCTTAACTCTCATTGATTGTCAACATGACAGTTTGATGTATAATGAGTTCGAAAACATACAGTTATTTATTAAGTTGTTTTATAACCTTTTCGTGTACTTTAGACCACAGACTTAGTTCTTGACATACACACACACACACACGCACGCACACGCACACACACACACACACACACACACACACACACACACACACACACACACACACACACATCTCACACACACGCACGCACGCACGCAAGCACGCACGCTTTTTGAATAAAAAAACTGATTCTTCTCACTTTTCAACATAAAAAAGCTCTCTTGTGAATTTTCGTTATAGTTAGCCGTTTTTGAGATATTTCGATTTTTAAGGTTCGATGCATTTTTAATTATTTATGATAAAATAACGTTAAAAAGTTAGTATCTCGATAATTTTTAGAAGTAGGCTGTGCCTGCAAATATTTTTGAAATTGAAAGCAGAATAAGGTTAAACGTCAATTAGTTGACAGTTAGTTTTGTTGAAACCTGAAACGTTTTTTTGCAATTGTGAATGCACGAAATTTAGTTTCTTTTACCTGTTTTATAGTTTTGTTTTATAAAAATGCCGTTTTTATTCTCCAATCATGAGTTAGCGGATATTTATTTTGTGTATGGCTTTGTAAATAGAAACGCAGCAGAAGCAGCCAGAGAATACGCACGAAGATTTCCAAACAGACGACATCCAACTCGCTCAGTACCTATTTGTAAGAGTGCATCGCCAAATAATTGAAAATGGTTTTGGAAATCTCCAAAGGGATCAAAACATAAATGTTCGTCAGCGCAGATTTACCCGTATGATTCTGCGTGAGTTTGATAGAGATCCGACCACAAGTGTTAGGAGAGTTTCTGGTGCCTTGGGAATTTCAGCAAGCCATGTTAACCGTGTTCTTAGAAATGACCATAGACGTCCTTACCATTTGCAACCTGTGCAAGGACTACAGCCAGGGGACGGAGAACGAAGAATCACATTTTGTCAGTGGATTCTTGATAGAACTGATAATAATAGGGAGTTTTTAAGTAACGTTTTATGGACCGATGAGTCATGCTTCACTAGAGGTGGAGTGGTAAATTTTCATAATCAACATATTTGGTCGCATGAAAATCCGCATGCAGTTCGGGAAAGAAATTGTCAGTATGAATTTAGTGTGAACGTGTGGTTTATTATCATCTACCGTAATCTACAATTTGGACCCTACCTTTTGCCTGCAAGGTTAAATGCTGCGACCTTCTTGGAATCTTTAAAGGCTGAACATGCAAATATGTGGGATGATGTTATGTTAGATTTAAGAAGATTGGCCTGGTTCCAGCTTGATGGTTGTCCAGCTCACTATTCGAGAATAGTTAGAAACTGGCTGGACGAAAATTATCCAGAAAGATGGATCGGCCGTGGAGGACCAGTCGCCTGGCCTCCACGATCCCCTGACCTAAATCCATTTTAATACACTACAGGTACAGTAGAGAGCGCCCTCTAGCGGCTACAGTAAAACTATGCCCATGGTTCGTTTTGTCGTACCAAAAAACCCCTGTATACCAATTTTCAGTTATACATCAAATATTGTTCGAAATATTTACAAAAAAAACTGTTTTAGACAGTAAATTTAAACACCATGTATTTCGGAAGCCACACATTTTTCGACCCATGTTTATATAGACTTTAGGCATTAATTTTAAAAGTTCTATCGAATCTTAAAGTTCTGCAACAATAAACTGAAACACCCTGTATACTATAAATACTGTGTAATTTCACAAACAAATGGTATTTCAAAAACCCGACAGCAAACAACAACAAAAAAACGACTAAATGACATATCGGAAACGGTGACGTTACTACGAAGCGCGCCAAAAATGACCATAAAATGTGTGTTTATGGTATTATATCAACCAATATCTTCAATGAATTGGTTGAAAATTTCTGATCTTTTCAAATACAACTTTGTTACATTTGTCGTAAAAATATTAAAAACTTCTGTTCCGGTTTATCTTACGCAAAAGCTTGTTCGTAGGAATTTAATTTACAATTTGAATACGCGCAACATTAATCTCCTGACAATGCCACAACATAGGACAGCCATTTTTCAACGGTATTTTACGTATAATGCGGTGAAATTGATCAACTCTTTCGAACAATGTTTCATCAGCAACTTTTCTAAAAAAAAAATATAAGAACTACTTATTGAGCTCTTAGGTTATTGTCTTCTCTTTGAATCATACGTATTATGTTTTTTGTTCTAATCGTACGCATTATGTCATATTTATTAATTCTTCTTTACTATTATTCTTCTTTTTCCTTTTCTTTTTCAATTTTTTCTTTTATTTTTAAGGTAGTAATAAGCATTGACATGACATTTATGGTTAAGTATAAATGGCCATTGGCCAGACTTCGCCATTTGTAAGGATACATAATTATGTATGTCTTACAATAAAGTCCATTGAATTGAATTGAATTGAATATTAAAGCAACTAATCGAAATACAAACATAATTATTGGACATGTTGCCGATTATACAATTTATACTCTTACATATATGTTGCCCGAGTTATACAGGTATGATATTGTTGTAAGATACTGCATGACAACTTATATAAAACTAACCTACTGCTTCGGTGAATTCGTGAGTGTTTATTATTGTGGTGTCCGGGCTTTCTCCTGGTAGATTTTCGATTACAACATCCGCGGATTCCAAGGGTGCCATGCAGAGTATCGCCCAGAAGAATGTCTTGAGCGTTGAGGCGAAATCTACGAAGGAAGATACCTGTAAAGGAAGGAATTATTTATCTGTCAGAATAATGTAGTAAATCCACAATATGTATTTCAGCTTACGTAAAGTAGTCGAACTTTTACTGTTTTATTATAGCCTACCATTCCATTTATTCACCTCATTATGTATATTATATAAGTGACATATCAATCCGGACACCCAGTTTAAATGGTTTTATTTTAATAAAAGTTGGTGAATGTATTTATCACAATGTAAATAACAAGTGAAAAAATTTTCAGCCTTATCAGTTGGACATTCCGGTTTTTATACTGCTTTTTTTTAATTCACTAACGCTCTAAAAATGAATATTTCAGCCGCAGTAAAGAATCAACGTTGGCGGATTTTGGTTCTTGACATCCTTTACGATCGGTTACGATGCCTAGAGTACGGAGACCTGTACGATTTCGTCAACTTAGTGAGTTTGATAGGGGCCGTATAGTGGGACTTCGGGAAGCTGGACTTTCTTTTCGGGAAATTGCAGTTAGAGTGCAAAGAAGTGTAGACACTGTGGTTAGGTGTTGTCAGGCATGGCTTCGAGAAGGCCGTACGCAAAGAGCAAGGGGCACTGGACGCCGCCGTAGAACAACAGACCGTGAAGATCGCCGCCTAAGGGACCGTTTCTCCACTACCAGGTCCATTGCAAATGAATGGTTTGCAGAACACGGAAGACCTATTGGCATGCGAAGTGTTTACCGACGAATGAGAAGTTTTGGCTTGTTTTCATACCGGCCACACTGGGTCCTCCCTTTAACTTGAGAACACCGACGTAATCGCCTTGAGTGGTGCAGACAACGGTCAGTCTGGGATCAGGAATGGAACAGTATTGTCTTTAGTAACGAGTATCGATTTTGTTTAGGCATGCACGATGGTCGTGCCAGGGTTAGAAGGCGACGTGGTGAAAGGAGGAATCCACAGTTTTTTGTTGAAAGACATGTTCATCACACTGTTGGAGTTATGGTTTGGGGTGCTATAGCTTATGGTTCCAGGTCACCATTAATCTTCATCAGAGGTAACATGAACGCGCAGCGTTATATCCACGAAGTTCTAGAACCCCATCTTTTGCCCTATCCTGACACCCTGGCAGATCCAACTTTCCAACAAGATAATGCCCGACCACATGTTGCAAGAGTCACAATAGACTTCTTTCAACATAATGATGTCACATTGTTACCATGGCCACCAAGATCTCCCGACTTATCCCCAATTGAGCACGTGTGGGATATGATGGGTAGGAGATTGCTCAATTTGCAACGTCCTCCTCAGATTATAGAAGCACTTCGAGAGGAGTTGGTGGTTGTCTGGAATGAGATACCACAGGAGGACATTGACCACCTGATAAGAAGCATGCCTAGGCGCGCTGGAGAATGCGTAGCACATCAGGGTGCATCCACACATTATTAAAGGTCAAAGAGCTTTAAAGCAGTGCAATCATTTTGAAACTTTTATCATTTACTTATTATGCTTCATTAAGTACTTATACAAAATTTTATTAAAATAAAACCATTTAAACTGGGTGTTCGGATTTATATGTCACTTAGTATATACAGGGTGACTTCGAAGTTGAGTCATTTATTTTAACAGTGAGTAGATCTGATCAAAAGAAATGTTTTTTTCCTTTAACATTTTTCTGGTAAAATTAAAGTAACAAAGTTATAGCCCTTTAGAAGTTTGAGTACCGCCCTGTCTCAATAATAATATTATGTGCTCGTGTTTGGCAACAACGGATATAATCCGCCTTATCCGTTCATCGCATCGGAAACAAAAAAGCGAAAGAATTTGAAACGATGTTTTACTACAATGTACAATCTTATTCAGTTGTATTCAGTCGATGTGTCAGTCGGTAACGTGTGAGTGAATAGTGAATAAAAAATGGCACATGTTTACGAAAATGCTGAATGTAGTACAAAGGGCTCGTGAATCAGGTGAGTTAAGACCTCACAGGGGACGGCATGCCGGTGCTCCAAGACCGCACGATCAAATACAGGTCCGCACTGAAATACTTGTCGGGAGGATACTTTATAAAACAAGCTAACTTTTTTTTTTATTTTTACACACATATTTTCGTTTATCTTCCTTCTACAATCATTATCTGAAAATTAATGACTCAACTTTAAAGTCACCCTGTATACAACGAACATGAGAGATCTTACAAACTAACTTATTGTCTAAACGAGTTACGTCATAGTATCAACGTGGTCATCATCTGAATAGGAACAGTGGTTATGCAATGTTTTTAGCAAACTTTGTTCTTTATTTGCATTTAGTCTAGTAGTGAGTACTACTCCTAGAAGGTTTACTGGTTCAGATCTCACAACCCACCTGTCAGAGGTAAATTCATTTAGCGCCAACTTGTTGGCTAAAAGCCATCTTTTGGCTTTTAGCCTACAAGTTGTCAGTCAGTGTTGGCACACCCGTGTTTTGGTAAGGTCTAGACATCAAGGTGGTATTGTCTGCAAATAGGAAGCAGGATCTGTTATCAATACTCCAGGGCAGGTCATTGATATTATATTAGAAATACCGGGGGTCAAGTACTGATCCCCGCGGCACCCCATTGCAAATAGACAAAAGGGCAGAGGCGGTAACCTCAGAACTTACATACAGGATGTCCAATAAGTACCACGACAAACTTAAGGAGAAGGTAGGCTTTGGATTGACCTCCCAAATAACAAAAAATTACCTGTATAAAAATGTCACCGTTTTTGAGAAAAATCTTTCTGACATCGACGACAAAACTATTACACCCTACTGTGAACTGAAAATTTAAATGTTCCCTTGAACGTTTCTCAAGGAAGCCTCATTGCTTCACTGTTTCCAAGGAGATATCTATTGATTTCAATGAAGCTTCAAGGAAGGTCTATAAATCTGACACTGTCTTTCAGTCTTATTGTCAACTTTGTTACTTTTTCTTAGGAACATCACTGTTTCCAATGAAATTCATTATTTTACCTGCTGTGTTTTGATCTGATTCTCATCCACTTTTACCATACCATCATAATATTGGTACAGCCGACAGCATCCAGCCGAGAAGGATATTATCACAATTGCAAAAATGATCAGGTACTTAGCAAGATCTGCGCACATTTTGCCCAGCGATATCTGTAACGGACCCATGTAGTAATTCAACCTATGCATAAATATAAATACTGTATTAAGTGAGAAATTGCAATATTCTAATGTCTATCATTAATACGATACAGATAGATAAATATGCTTTACTGTCTGAAGAAATTATGAATGGATATGGATAGATATTTTAGTGAAGCTATGGTCCAGAAAATAATATATGAAAGACTGAACCCAACACCCTGGTTTTCACAGATATTCAAGGAGTATAAATTAAAACGCGATAACGACTATAGAAAATTTTCAGTACTTAACCCAAAGTGAAAATGATTGGAAACAATATACATAATCAAGAAATGAGTGTGTAGCAGTTCTCAGGAGGGAAAAGAAAAAATACTATGATAAGAAGATCGATAGCAATAAAGATAATTCTAAAATGATGTGGAAAACATTAAAGAATATTGTTTCTCCTAATATAAAGACTGAATCATATAAAATGCGTTTCGAATATGGGGTAGTGACAGACAAATTAATTACAGCAGAAAGAATGAAGATTTATTTTATAGAAAGTGTAAATCAAATAGTGAAGACGATTGATGACAGTGATCCAAACTTACGTCCATTACAAATATGTCAGAATTCATCAATGAAGCAATTAAGGACAATTAACATCAACAATCTAAGAAAAGCTATCTCAAAATTGAAATCTAATAAAAATCCAATTGAGAATATCTCAAAAAATATTCTAAATGATTGTTTCAATATAATTGGAGAGAAATTATGATTACTGGTGAATCATTGTTTAGTACATGGTGAATTCCCATCAAAATTAAAGTGTTCCACCATTACTCCTGTGCCAAAAGTTCAAAATTCTCAGCTGTATACAAATATGCGTCCGATTAATGTCTTGCTCGATGCCGAGAAGTTGTTCGAAGGGATAATATACGAACAAATCATAGAATTCTTTGAAGAAACCAAAATTTTGACAAAAAATCAAGCTGGATTTAGAAAAAAAATGTTTCACAGAAACAGCAATCCAAATGGTGGTGCAAGACTGGAGAAGTATAGATGAGAAAGAATATATTGTAACAGTATTTTTAGACTTCAAAAGGGCATTTGAGACTATATATAGGGAAAAATTGTTAATGAAATGGCACCACTATGGCTTTAAAGGATCAGTATTACACATTTTACAAAATTATTTAGTAAATAGAAGTCAAAAAGCTGAGGTTGGAAATATTATGTCAAGTGTTCAAAATATATCAGTAGGGGTGCCACAGAGGAGTAAATTAGGGCCGATACTATATTTTATTTATATAAATGATATCTTTGACATTTTAGAACACTGCAAAATTCAAATATTTGCGGACCATACACACACACACACACACACACATATATATATATATATATATATACACAGGGTGACTTTGAAGTTGAGTCATTAATTTTCAGATAATGATTGTAGAAGGAAGATAAACCAAAATATGTGTGTAAAAATAAAAAGAAATTAAAAAAAAATGTTACCTTGTTTTATAAAGTATCCTCCCGACAAGTATTGCAGTGCGGACCTGTATTTGATCGTGCGGTCTCCGTGATGCCGCGTAAATAAGAATCATGTCCATAAGTTCAGCATTTTCGTAAACATGTGCCATTTTTGATTTCGTTTGAGCCACGCAACAGACACCACTATCCACTCACGCGTTACCGACTGACACTGACTGTATACAACTGAATAAAATAATTGTAAAAACATCGTTCCAAATTCTTTCGCTTTTTTGTTTCCGATGCGATGAACCGATAAGGCGGATTATATCCGTTGTTGCCAAACACGAGCACATAAAATTATTATTGAGACAGGGCGGTACTCAAACTTCCAAAGGGCTATAACTTTGTTACTTTAATTTTACCAAAAAAATGGTAAACGAAAAAAACATTTCTTTTGATCAGATCTACTCACTGTTAAAATAAATGACCCAACTTCGAAGTCACCCTGTATATACGATGTTTTTACAATTATTTTATTCAGTTGTATACGTATGCTGTCAGTGTCAGTCGGTAACGCGTGAGTGAATAGGGGTGTCTGTTGCGTGGCTCAAACGAAATCAAAAATGACACATGTTTATGTCGATCGGTTTCCCAATCGAGTGCAACCAACCCCTCGTGCCTTTGTTAATGTAGTACAACGGGCTCGTGAATCAGGTGACTTAAGACCTCACAGGGGACCTCACGATCAAATACAGGTCCGCACTGAAATATTTGTCGGGAGGATACTCTATAAAACAAGGTAAAATTTTTATTTTATTTTTACACACATATTTTGGTTTATCTTCCTTCTACAATCATTATCTGAAAATTAATGACTCAACTTCAAAGTCACCCTGTATATATATATATATATATATATATATATACAGGGTGTCCGCAAAGTTGGGGTTTTCCTTCTTGAAAACATAAGCAATTTTTCTTAGTACCATATACACCAATGTCTTAAGGGAACCGAGATAAAGGGCTCTGCAACATCAAAAATATCTGAATACCGTCCTGTAGCCGCGACCCGGGACATCACCGATTGGTACAAGGTCTCAACCCGACGGCAGAACTGGGTCGGGGTCAGTGTGTCAGGTCAGTATGCAACCTTCAACCGACGATTACGGTCACGCGTGTAGAGGTAAACGAACCCGTATAATCGATTGCGTTTCAAAAAACAACAAGCACTAGAGACGTGGCTAGAGAAGTGCAAGTATCAAAAACTAAAGTGTGGCAAACGCTGCGTGAAGAGGGACTGTATCCGTTTCACGTCCAACGTGTACAAGCCCTTCAACCTGACGATTTTCCAGCAAGAGTGCGGTTTTGTGAGTGGTTGTTGCATCAACATGACAATAATCCGGACTTTTTGAAGTGCATATTGGTGACAGACGAATCTACGTTCACGCGTAATGGGGTGAGTAACTTTCGCAACACTCATGTTTGGTCATTACGCAACATTTTGCCTTCCTTGTTTGCCTGCGTCTGCTCGGTAGCACATCAGCTGATTTCATTTTCTGTTGGAGCGGTATGATTTCGGGCAGAGACGTACTTAGCCCTTCTCGTCAACTGGAGAGTGAGTACTTTTTCATTTATTTTTTTTTTGGTCGCCCTCGTTTCACTACACATTACCTTTGTTATTTCAAGGGTAGTTGTTTCTGAAAAGGAAAACCCCAACTTTGCGGACACCCTGTATATATACATAAAAACTCGGGGTGTTGAAGTTTTAGGAAAAAAATGGAAATTCATTAATATTTTCAGAACCGCTTCAGATATTTCACTGATATTTAGTACGTAGTGAAAGTTAATAAAGTTGTATTGACTTCGATAGTTTTTAAGAAAAAAATGATACGCCAAAGGTTTTTTGCCAAAATAAAACTCAGTTTTGAATTCCCCATTCAATTTAAAATAATAGTAATAGCTAATTTATGATCAATGGTCAGTCTCGAAATTTTGATGGTGTCTGTTTTACGTATCATTTCATTATTTGAAATTATAAAATCAAGATAGTATTTAAAAGTCATAATTTTTGTCTTATTAACATTGAGAGTCAAATAATTGTTTTCATACCATTTTTTTTGTTTGATTGTATATTACTATCAATTTTTGTCTTGATTTCAGTTAGATATAGGTGTGACTTGTCAAAGTATTGTAGTATCATCAGCAAAAACAACGAATTTACCATTCATGTTTAAGTTTATTATATCATTGATACAGACTATGAATAGGATCGGCCCTAATACCGATACCTGCGTTTATATTTAATTAATTTGAAATCTAATGTCCTGGTAATTTTAAAATTTGGGATCAATTATTTAAATATGTATGCTTTAAACTAATTGAGTGAACTTCCAGTACAACCATATTTGTTTAATTTTGGTGATAATATGATGATTTACACAAACGCTATTGGCACTTGTTTATCGTTTAAAATAAGATGGTATCGTAAATCTTGCAGTTTGTTTTGTTGTCATACAAATGTAACTATACCTGCAGAAAAATGTTAATCTGAAGAAAGCCATAATAGTAGCGATTGCAAAACATCCTTCAGCAATTAGTACAGGATCTAAATGATGCCAGTATTTTCTTTCGAGATCAATTTGATCATTGTGAACAGCATCAAAATAGGAGGCCATCCAGAATGTGAATGTTAGCAAAAACATCATATTGTTCATCACTGCATGCCAGTTCCAAAGGTTCTGTAACATAAGGAATATTAAGCGGTAAAGCAATTTTCAAAGCGTTAATGATTATACGATAAAGGTCGTAATCCTAGGTAAGTAGAGCGGGGCATGTGCCATCATATTGAATACACTATGACATACAGGGTGGCCCAACGAAAAGGTCGCACCCTCATTTGTGACTCTCCTGGTATATTTTGTATAAAACGCTCGGACACGTCTATTTTGATTTCCAGGGGAACGTCTTTTCAGCTATAGCCGTACAGGCAGCAGCGGTGGCCGCACTAGTACAGTATATTCAGATAAGAGATAGACCGGATGTAAACAAAAGGTTCGGGTGATTTTCACGCTAACGCCGCCGTCTCGACGTAAAACAGGAGCCCTCATTGGTCAATTCGCAATTAAATGCCTATGCCGAGCGGCAGAGCAGTCGTATCAAGGCAGAGTCACATTCAGGTTCAGACGTGTTACGTATGTCGTGTGCATCATTGCAATTTGATATTTCTTTGGACGTTTTCGTTTGTTATCTCATTAAGTTGTTGAGTTTGTCGTTGTTATTGTTATACCTTGTTAGTGATTGTTATTGTTATCAACTGCTTGCGCAAAATGCCGAGTAGTACAGATACTGCCGATGAAGTTGTAAACTCCTGTAGTCCACCTAGGAAACGCTCTAAAAAAAGACACCTGAGTGCAGAAATGAAAGAGGTCATTTTGAATATATATAAGATCGAGCGCGAGGAGAACGAGGCATCAACCATCAAAGAAATTGTTGTGAAGGTTTCTCACAAAGTTGGGGTGTGTCGCGCATCAATGTTTAATGTGTTAAGACAATACAAAAAAAATCACACCTTTTCCCTTTCATCCAGGAGGGCCTTTCTAGATGGACTGTCCACCGGATTAAAAAATCCAACAGGTAAATACGAGTAATAGACAACAATCGGATGTTTTTCAAACCTTGGGAACAAGGTTCTAAACATTAATTCCAGGGGGCAGATAAAACATATTACAAGTAACAAAACTTTTATAACTTTCGATAAAATGCGTGGATGTTTTATTGTCATTTTCATTTGTTAGAACTTTTTTAAGCCATGTTTTTATGTGTTTTCCATATTTCAATAATTCTTTAATATAATCTTAAAATATGTCGAATATCATAAACTTAAAAAAAGTTACTAAGTTTTATATTGTGTACCGTTCCTAATATTTCTAATCATTTTAATTCATACTTTAAGCTTTATAAAGTTATAATTTGTTAATATTAATATTTGCGCGTATTTCAGGTTCCTGATCATTCATTTTTTAAAGGTTTATAACTTTAAATTAAATTGTGAAGCGCTGAGTAATCATACGACGTTCAATATTCTTTCTTTCAATATGACTAAATAATCCCAATTATAGCAATCTGATACTCATGTCTCAATGTTTTTTCGCTGAATGTGATGAAAACATTTGAAAAAGGTTCGCTTATTGAAATAAATCTACACCAGTTAGTACTTCGATTTCCAGGTAAAGGGAAAAGGCTCATTATCTGCCATATTGGCAGTGAGGATGGATTTGTTGTTGACGGTCTGTGGTGCTTTGAGTCTAAGAAAACTGGAGATTACCACGAGGAAATGAATGGCGAATCGTTTGAACAGTGGTTTTCAAAAATTTTACCGAACTTAGAGGAAAACGCAGTAATTGTGTTGGATAATGCGCCTTATCATTCTCGAAGAATGGAGAAGGTCCCAACAACGGCTTCAAGGAAAGTTGATGTTCAAAATTGGCTCCGCTCGAAAAATATCAACTTTGAAGAAGCAATGCTGAAAGTACAATTATTAAGAATTGTCAAGGATCACAAGGCGGAATATCAAAAATACGCCATTGACGAAATGGCAGCAAGTCAAAATAAAACTGTGCTCCGTTTACCTCCATACCATTGCGAGCTCAATCCCATTGAGCTCATATGGGCAGAGGTTAAAAATTATATAGCTAAGCACAATACAACTTTTAAATTTTGTGACCTCAAAGGACTTTTCAAAGAAGCACTAGAATTAATAACAGCGCAAAAATGGGAAAACTGTATTAAGCACGTGAAAGACAAAGTTGAAAAGAGAATGTGGGAACTGGACAATATTTTAGAGGAACAAGTCGAGCCATTCATTATTGACGTTGGCGCTTCAGGCAGTAGCGATGATGAAAGCTCATCAAGCTCATCTTTCCAATAAAAGATGTCGTTCATCAAATTCGGTAAGTTATAAGTAATTATAAAGCTACTGTATTTTTTAATTAATTATTGACATTTTTGAACCCATTTTGGCAAAACCTATTCAAGAATCTACTTTCTGACAATGTTCAACCATGCACATTTTTTTACGTTTTGAACGTTTTAATTTGGTTACATATTTACCTAGAAATCAAAAAATATACTAATCAATATTCTAAAAGCAATTTTAAGAGATATACGATTATTTTTAATTTAGGCTAATTTAAACGCCATTTTGAGATTATATTCGACTGTATTTCACCAAACATCAGGCGGCATCCGAAGCTGGAAATCGAAGCGAAAATTTTGAAACCCTTATGTATATTTACATCATTATATATTTCTTACCCCACCCCCACATGATCCTATATCCATCACCAATCGTATACACATCGAATTGTGCTAATTTATTACAAAGTTACGCAAAGCAGCATCTACTATCTAAAATATGTACTGCGTGACTCTTAATACGTCCCTGCCGAATGTTACAGCGTTCGATGATCACGTGGTCTTGTTTATGTCCGGTCTATCTCTTATCTGAATATACTGTAGACTCTTCGGTCTCCTGATCAGTCGCCGTGCGCTGTGCGGGTTCGAATCCCGTCCCAAGAGAAATTTTTACCTTGGCTATGGATGTTGTGATTGTCCATAGGTGGTAGACCGTCTCTGACTGTCGAAGGCAGTGGTACTACCCGGCGGATCTCGTAGGCGTGGCCAGAATGTGTGCATGTTGCATGCACACGTGTATCCTCGCCAGAGTCCGTGTGGCGCCGCCCCCTTTCCCCTGTTTCCCCCTATAGCCCCACGGTACCCATGGGTGTTTCGGACTTAGGCCTTCGTGGTAGTTGGAGTATACAAAAAAATCCAGTCCGAACTAGAAGCTTTGTTGATGTCGAGCGACAAGAGCACCCGTCTTACGGTCTTATACCTGAATGTTACTTCCTGTATAGTGAAGGGAACCCTTTGAATCGACGATACTTGCGCTTTGGGGGGACGTCCATGGTGTAGTTGATCTCGACAACCATTTTCGCCTCATCCTGTGCCTAATTTTTATATCGTGCTGGTCTTTGGCATTGCGAACCACTTCGGTATATGTGTTTCTCGACCTGACGTCGGCTTGTTTGTTCTCTACAGTGAGGTTTTTGTAAGAAGGTTCTGTGTGCTGGCGAACAGTATCACAAGATTTGTTGAAGCCGTTGGGCTCTGGTTTAGGCACTTCCACTGTATGCGTAATGTATTCCTCCATCCCAACTTGAATAATGTCGGTTATCGATGAACAGACAGCCGGCGTGTCCGCGCTAGCGAAACAAACATCACCCTAGAAAAAGCTAGCGGGTGGTACCGCCTCGGTCGACTGGTTCTTGTGCACCACTATGATGTTAAATAGACCTAAAGTGGCCCGTTGGTAGACTTGTACCGCCACCCGGCAATCGATATTCTAATTCCTTAACGCGTGTACAATCACTTGAACGGGAAGAAGTTGTTTACTGAATACAACTTGCGGAACAAGCATTTGTCTGGGCCATCGCTCAGTAGGGGTATATTAGCCATATTTAACATATCATAGGTTTACCGATGCATTTGTCGTTAAAACAGTTTACGTCTCCTTCTGCTATCTGGGCTCAGCGTCCAGCGTAACGATCTGGTTCATTTTTATGCTCGTATTGTGCCGGTGCTTTGGTAACCGCTACCGCGTCTGATATACAGGGTGTTTCAGTTTATTGTTGCATAACCTTAAGATTCGATAGAACTTTTAAAATTAATGCATAAAGTCTATATAAACATGGGTCGAAAAATGCGTGGCTTCCGAAATACAGGGTGTTTAAATTTACTTTATAAAATAGTTTTTTTTAAATATTTCGAACAATATTTAATGTATAACAGTGTAAATTACTATACGTAAGGGATTTTTGGTACGACAAAACGAGCCATGGGCATAGTTTTACTGTATCCGCTAGAGGGCGCTCTCTACTGTACCTGTAGTGTATTAAAATGACCGAAAAAAATTTCTTAGTGCAACTTTTTGCTTTTTGAATAAAAAAACTGATTCTTCGCACTTTTCTGCATAAAGAAGTTCTCCTGTGAGTTTTCGTTATAGTTAGCCATTTTTGAGATATTTCGATTTTTAAGGTTCGATGCAGTTTTATTATTTATGGGAAAATAATATTTTTTTTACATTTTCGATTTGGGCATTACACGTAATTAAGATGATCGTTTAGATTGTGTTTTTAAACACAGCAATAATTCCTAACTCCAAATAAACACAAAAAACAGAATATTAATTTGTTTAATTTTCCAATATTATTTTTAACAAATTAAATTAATTATTAACTAAAATGCTATTGGATAGTTAGGAGAAACATACAAAATCTAAAGTAGTTGCTCGAAATGTAAACCCAATTGTTCAATACACAATTCACATCTACGAATGATCGAACGTGGTATAGCATTATTCAAATAAGGCCTTATTTCATCACATGCTTTCCTGATTCTGTCTATTAGCATATCTCTTGTGGTTACGGGAGTCTGGTACACTTTTTCTTTTAGAAATCCCCACACAAAGAAACCTAATGCATTTAGGTCAGGGGATCGTGGAGGCCAGGCGACTGGCCCTCCACGGCCGATCTATCTTTCTGGATAATTTTCGTCCAGCCAGTTTCTAACTATTCTCGAATAATGAGCTGGACAACCATCAAGCTGGAACCAGGGCAATCTTCTTAAATCTAAAATAAAAGTTCCAAGAAGGTTGCAGCATTTAACTTTGCAGGCAAAA